TTTTTTTATTTTATTTTAATTCTGGTATGGTTAACATACAGTGTATTAGTTTCAGGTTACAGTATAGTGACCCAGCAATTCCATATATTACTTAGTCTCATCATGGTAAGTGTACTTACTCCCCTTCATATTTTTCACCCATTCTCCCACCCAACTGGTAACCATCTGTTTGTTCTCTAAACTGTTAGCCCAGTTAAGAGATTGGGTTTTTGTTTTTATGTTGGGTTTTGGTTTTGTGAGGGTATTTTTTGGTTTGTCCCTTTTTTTTCTCCCTTTTTTTCATTTTTTAATTTCTTAAATTCCACAAGTGAATGAAATGATTTGGTATTTTGTCTTTCTCTTGACTTATTTCATTCTATTCCTACATACCACAAAATGGAAAAAGCCTTTGAGACCAAAAAGGAACAATTATACTGAAAATACTCTTATAAAATTCCTTTGCATGAACAAAAACAAAATTTATTCATCACTCATTTAGCAATTTTCTAAATTAAGTAATGAATTAACCAATTATTGATCACTAGTACACATCAAATCTTGCGTTGTAGATTGGGACTACAGTTGTAAACAAATCAGTTACAGTCACTGCTTCATGCAGAATGAAGTGGTTAAAAGCACAGACTATGGAGCCTGACAATGTGGGTCCAAATTTTGGCTCCATCCCTTACCAGCATGTGCTCTGGGATAAGTTAAAAGTTCTTCAGTTTTCTTATCTACAAAACATGGATCCTGTCTGATAAAAATATTATGAGGGCTATGTTAGTTTATAAGGAAAAGCTCATAGAAGGGTACTGTTATCAGTTACCTATTGCTGCATAAGTAGCAGCTTAAAACAATATACATTTATTATCTAACAGTTTCAGTAGGTTAGGGATCCAAGCAGAGCTTAACTAGAGTCTTTCTTTCATGAAATCAAAGTACTACACAAAGCACTGTGCAGTTTGATTACTAAGTCATTAGTTGAGAAGCAAACCTCAGAGAACAGCTTCATGTCGGCCAAGGCCACAAATACCATGTATGACAATTTAACTGACAGATTTTTACATGTTCAAAATACAACATTAGTGCACATTGGGGATCACTGGTGCTGGAAACAAGGGCGACAGGGGGGCAAAGCTAGTCCTTAGTAGTTTCACCCTCCTTGATTTTAACTGAAGCACTCTCTTCAGCTTTGGCCAACATAGAGCAAATGATCTCCAAGCCAATGGCTTTGATCAGGGATGGCAGCACTGTGTTACCCACCTGCCTGTGCTTATCCAGGATGTTCACAAGAGTTGAAGTCTCATCTGAAGGCTCAACTGAGGATTGCAAGTTCATGCAGGGGTGGTTGGTGGGATCCCACATCTTTGGGGGATGTTGGACTGAGGGCTTCATTCCTAGATGGCTGTTCCTTGCCTGGGTATTTCAGGTGTGACACTGAGCTTCATTAAAGCCAGCAAGGAAAAAAGTCTGCTCTCGAGATGGAAGTTGGAATCTTTTATAATCTACTCATAGAAATCATATCCCTTCAACATTAAGGTATTCTATTATTTAGAAGTAAGTTGCTAAAAGTTAAGACATTATCTAATGCTCTGAATCATAGGAAACAGAGATCATTTAGGGATCATCCTAGAAGCTACCTACCACAGGTACCTGGTAAAGAATAAGTACGTGCTGGCTTTTGTTGTTTATGGCCTTTGTAGTCCAATGAGGGATTGTTGAACTGTGAAGTGGAAGGGGAAATAGCATCTTGGGAGCAAGTATGATGACCTTAAGGCAGGAGAGAGATATGGTATATTTGAGACACTTGGAAAGGATGGGTTTTGCTGGTGCATGAAGATATCATAAAGAAAATCAGGGATCAGGTGCTGAAAGGCACTATAAACCAGAGAAGGATTTGGGCCTCTATCCTGAGGAAACAGAAAGCTATTGAATTTTCTGCAAGGAAGTTACATGATGAAATTTGAGAATATCACTTTGGCTACATTGTGGGAAGGATGGATTGGAGAGAAGCAAGAGTGAACACTGGAAGGCCATTTTGAGGGATTTCACAATGGTCTAGGTGAGAAGTAATAATAGCTGGGACCAGAATGGTAGCAGTGGGAAAGATACTACAGATATATAATAGCAGGACATGGTGAATAATGAGATGAGGAGACAGAGGTGCAGGGTGGAGAAGATGAGGCAAATGATGATGCCAAGTCCACCCTTTAAGGAACTAGATGAGTAATGGGAATACTGTAGAAAGAGCATATTTTAAAGGAAAAGATGACTTGAGTCTCGGAAATAATGATTTTTAAGGACCCTATGAGATATCTAAGGATGTGTGAGCTCATCTGCCAAATACAGCTTTGAGAAGTGAAGAGAGTCTAAGATGGCTCTGAAGTCCTTTAACCTGCAAGAGTTGCATCAAAGATCTTCTAGAAAGAGAGAATGAGAAGAAATGACCAGAGCAACTGGAAAAAAAAAAAAAAAAAAAAAACACGAAAAGAGAATTTTTAGTCAAAGTGATTGGTCAACTGTGTGAAGTAATTCCGAAAGGTCAAGCACTGGCAAATGTCCAAAAAAATGAGGCGACCCAGGGTTATTTATGACTTTTGCACGAAGCCCTTCAGTAAAAGGGCAAACAGGGAAGCTTAGTTGGACTGATTTGAGGAGAAAATGGGAAGCAACACAATAGAGGCTACAGATACAAATACATACAATACATCTGAGAAGTTTGCCTTTGAAGAAGTGGAGAGAAATATGGCCTCATCTAGACGGGGAAATGGACTAAATTGAAAGCTTTCTTTTGTTGCACTGGTTTTAAATAGAAGAGTTTGTGTACCATTAAACAAAGGTAGAAATTGGCTAGCAGAGACGGGGCAGGGGGTTGCTGGGTAAGAGTAGGATGAACTGATACAGCAAAGTTCCTGAACAGGTGGTTCTATCTGTAACCCAAAGTACCAGTGTGGGGGCTGGTTTTCGAAAGAGGGCTCCTCCGTTGTAACAAGGCAGAGGAAGAGCTTGTAGACTTCTTCCTGGTGGATTTGTAGATTGGTATTAGAACATTGAATGTGTTCTGATAGAATGGCTTTTACTGCCTTTTCAACAAACCCTCTTCCTTCAGGTGTTAGGGAGCCAAAGCACTCTAAATTCTTGCTTCTCCAATTGTGGTCTTTAGATCAGCAATATCAGCATCACCTGTGAGCTTATTAGAAAAACAGAATCTCGGGCTCCAGCCCAGACCTACGTTATCAAAACTGGTTTTTTTTTAAGATTTTATTTATGTATTTGACAGACAGAGATCACAAGTAGGCAGAGAGGCAGGCAGTGAGAGAGAGGAGGAAGCAGGCTCCCCGATGAGCAGAGAGACCGATGCGGGGCTCGATCCCAGGACCCTGGGATCATGACCTGGGCCAAAGGCAGAGGCTTTAACCCACTGAGCCACCCAGGCGCCCCTCAAAACTGATTTTTAACAAAGTTCCCAAGTAATTTTCTGCTTACTTCTTGAAGGACCTTTCCATAATCATGTAATCATTATCATAAATACTGATCTAAAGCTCATTTTTATCATACTACTAAGAAGAGAGTTGAATGCCTTGGCCCTTGACTGGAATCAAGGAGGGGGAAACATGAAGAATCACCTGGGAATGATCCTCTGTTAGTTTTGTGTAAACTGTACAATAAAGTTCTCTGATTTACTTCTGACACATTTGAAGCTGGATAGCTATGTGTGAAAACAAAGAATTTTTTTTTTTAAATCAAAATAGTTTTCCCGGCTAAAAAGCTGAATGGAATTTAAGTCTAAGTGGTAACTAAGATGCCAACCAGTGAGCTGAGAGGTGTGGGAAGTCTGGAAGCCAATACATATGGCATCATAGAGTCTTAGAGTTGGAATTATATCAAGGATGAGCTAATCCAAGTGCCCAGCTGGAGTGAGAGTCCCTACATCACCTTTTACCTACCCACTTCCACTCATAAGGAACTGGCTCCTTTTCATCATTAGGACCCATTTTAATCATTAGAAGCCAGTTGCTACCAGAGTTTTCTTTCCTTACTTTTAATATTTCCCTGGAATATCCACCCGTTGGGCCCAATTTGGGCCACAATAGAGTATAAGAATGTTCGCTAAATCCACTTGTTGCCCAACAACCCCCAATACACTTGCCACAGGTGTTTCATCCATCCTAAGTCCTCTCTCGGTATTTTCTTCAGATTGTCCCAATAGTCACAGCTTCTGAAGTTCTCTTCATTCCCGCCACCTCCTTCAGGGTGCAGAATAATTTCCTAGTGTGCCAACAGGCAAAGCGATGCCTAACACATCATCCAACAAATGAAAAATAATTACAACATGAATTTTCCAGGACCTATTTTTCCATTATTGCAGTCTAATATCACATTAACTCTTACTAGCCATTTCACACCCTTGGCGTCTACTAAAAACACCCTGGTCAGTTGTAATCCTCTGATTTTGTTTGTTTGTTTTCATATGGAGTGTTGCTGAAGTGGGTATTTCTACACCTGCCCGTGTGCTAGAGTGTGTGTTAGTCTCAGACATCCCTGGGGATCACTGGAAAGTCAAGCACTGGTCCCAGACCTCACTCTGTGCAACTATACCATGACCCTAATCATGTTGATGCCATATCTGAGGTACCAAAGAAAGCACTTTGTCCTCCTGAACATGCGCTCCACTTCTGAAGAACAGCCTATTTATAAACTCGATCTTTTCAGAGGACCTGAGGTGACCAGGGGATTGACGTTTCTAGAAGCTAATTTTTTCTTCACCAACTTCCCTTCTTCTTACCAAGTATGTACCCTGAAATCCCTGCTTCCAACCATTCAATTCCCACCTAATTAATCTTCTTTCCTCGCACCCAGGGTGACAGACTCTTGACTTACTTATTTTTTTGTTTAAGCAGCTGAGCAGGCCAAGAAACCCAACCCCTCTCCACCAACCAGAGCCCCGCCTCTGCCCCAGGAGGCCTGGAGTTGAAGGCCAGAGAGGGAGAGGGGACTGTACTCTGGGTGGGGGAGCGTGGGCTCTGCTGCCTCATCCAGTAGGACCGCAAGGGTCACTCTAAAAATTGCTGCTGCTGGGACTCATCCGGTGGCTGCTGGGGGCTCCCCACTGCATTTTCCTTCTCCCTCCCTCCCTCTCTCTCCCCACAGATTGCTTCCCAAGAGGAGCCTCCTGCTGAAAACTCATCATTACACATCCAGACACCACACAGGAGGGTAAGGAGCTGGGACTACGATCTCCAATTCCTGACTTCTAGATTCTAGGGTGCGTATGGGTGGGTGGGTGGGAGAGGGTGGAGGTATCTGTGTGCTCGTGGCGGTGTGGCTGTGCCACTGACAGGCAGTCTATAGCCGGACCACAGGGCTCATGTTCTGGATCTGAAATCGGGAGCCAGAACACATTCTCTCCCAGTGTAAGGAATGCCAGAGATCGGGAGAATGTCATAGTAACAGAAATGCGTGAGAGGACTGCTTTTAAAAAAGTAAAATGACTCGTCATTTCCATTAATAATTTTCAGTCTCTGAAGCCTAAAACATGTTCATCTTCCTCCGTTTTCTAGAGAAAGGAGGGACAAAGTAACATTTGTAGGTTTTGTTCACAAAGTTTTGAATTCCGTCTTCATTTTTATCAGGAACCATGTAAACATTCAGTACCTGATAGCTTTAGATGAAATACAATCAGTTTAATTCAATCGGTAACACAAAAGTCAGAGAACTCCTTGAATTCCCAGAAATATCCATATTGGCAACATAGAAACTCCCTCTATAAAAAGAACACAGGTTTTACTTAACCATAAAATGAGTTTTTGTTCTTAATGTGCACCTTTGGCTATCGTGACCTCAGTTTTACGTTAGAAGTGAAACGGTGAAATGGAAAACCCCCCCTTAAGTCAGACTTCACTTAAAATGGCAAGCAGCAGAAGCTGGAATGTTTCTATTCCGGGAGTCCGTGCTGATGAGCTGGGACAGATGCAGCGACCGGAATGTGACAGGACAGGGCAAAGGCGCAGCTGATTCGCCCCTTTGGCAAAGACACATTCTGGGATCCCAGTTCATTCTGGCACGAGAGTGACAGTGACACTTTTACACACATGGCTTTGCAGCTCGCCCTGTGTAGAGTCTCTCCCAGGAGGCAAGGAGAGAAGGCGACAGAAAAGAGAATGTTCTTAAATATAAAGTGGCAATTCTTTTCTATAATCAGTAGAGATTTGCATCTGAGGGCTGTGTCAGGCCAGGAGGAGCTTCTCTCTAGGGTAATTCCTCCACTGGGACTTGCCGGCTCCTCCAAGAGGGTAGAATTACATTACCATTTCTTGTCTTCACTGTCCTCAGCCCAAAGGTTCTAGGTCTATTTTGGGTCATGGGTCTTTTTCAGAACCTCATGGAAGCTCTAGGCCTACTCCTCAGAAAAAGACACATAAACACACATGCATCACATGTTTCTTAATATTCTAGAAATTTTCATGGAATTCATGGACTCACTTGAAATGCAAACCAGAGCAGGGTTGCTAGATAAAATACAGAACACCCAGACTCCATTTGAATTTCAGATAAACCACAAACCACTTTTTTGTATAAGCGTGTCCCAAAATAGCACGGGAGATATACTTATTCTAAAATACGATTCATGGTTGATATGAAATTCAAATTTAACTGGACATCATGTATTTTTATTGGCTAAATCTGGCAACCTAGACCCCACTGCGTGCCTCCTAGGTGAAGAATCCCCTGTCCCAGTTGGTGTGTCTCTATCTGATAGAGTTGATCGTAGGATTCTGAAAAACCATATTGAGGGGAGAAGAGATACCAGACCAGACTTTGACAGCTCTGGCAGCAAAAGCCAGCTGCTTATTCTTAACTCTGTGTAAAGTTTTAGAAGAGAAAGTAACACATATCCCCATCTAATAGATGTTTAAACTGAATCCCTAGTTCACTAATGTTTTGCTATAGGTCTGTTAGATGGTTAGAGCAAAAAGAACACTAAAACTCAATTTCCAGTTCTGTGACAACCAGAGAGACATGAATCTGAAAAATTATATTTCCAACCACCCCTTCCCACACATAAACACACAAAAGACTAAAAAGAGAAAGAGCTGTTTTCCTGAAATTCCAATAAAACCCAAACCAAAAGTTTTAGCACTGGATCTTTGTGTCCTGTATGCAGCCTTGGTGAATGGAATTATAGTTAACTTTGTGCATAGTTTCTATATACTGATCAGAGCAACCAATTCATGCAGAATCTCCTTGAACCTCTTTTGTTTTTGGCTTACCCAACCTGTGGGAGTTTTCTGTCTTTACTACCTGTAACAGAATTAAGAAATCCACAGGTTTACTTCATCCTCCGATTTATTTTAAACTCAAAAAAGCAATCCTTTTATTTCAGTGTTTGGAGTTACAAAGAACCATTTCATGTTCTCTATATCCAAATTTTATTTGACAACCTCAGGTCTGCGTCAGTCTCTCTCTTCTCATGCTGGAAAGAGCTAAATTTAACCTGCTACAGCTTTTAACCTACCCTGCCTTTGAGGGAAGTGATTACGGTGGTCAGGACTCACTCTGGGTTTGAGTCTTTTCTCCACTATGGGTTGCATGCTCGTGTGGCCTTGGATATGTTTTCAAAGTCTCTCTGACTCTTAATCTCTTCATTTGTAAATGAACATAATATAACCATCTTTTCGGATTTCAGTGGTGCTTAAATCTAAAAAAATAATAATAATAAAGTCATGTAAAGTATTAAACCCAGGGCTCCGCACATAGTTCTCAATTAATAAATTAATATAATTATTATTTCAATTAGAAGTGGAGGTAATAGTTTACAATTAATACATAATATAGATTCATGCTCGGTGACTTATATTTAGGAATAATTATTAATGTACTTAAATTTGGCAAATACAAAAGATGATGAAAAATACAATAGCTCACATCACTGCCCAGCTGTTTATTGGATGTCGAATGTATGACGCTATCGTAATAGAAATGGCACGGGAGCCAAGGTCTGTGGTGGACAATGGGAGAAGAGTGTGGAGGTGCCTTTGTATTATCCTTCTATCTAGTTGTGAATGGGCAGCTCTTCCAGGAACCCGAGAGACTGTTCGGGGTTATCCTGGATCCAGCAGAGAGAGGAAGGAGGCTGTGGTGTCCGTGACCAGAGAAAAAGAATTCTCTTGTGTGTTCTGCACAGAATGAAGGCATAGTTCGGAAGCATAGGGAGCCTTCTATAACCCTCTGCACCCTGTCCAAAGTCTTTTCTTTCACCCAAAAAGGGAAGGACAGGAAAGGATTTGCAGTGCTTTTAAAGAGCTGTTCACCCCATTACACAACCTCCCCTGCTGTAGCTGGTCCTCTTTCCAGCAGCAGTGGGAAAATTGCAAGCTCTAACGGTCTCAGGGAGTATGTATGGTTCTTCCTTTCTTTCATCCCCCCCATTGGGAGGGCTCCCCCACCCTGCAGCTCACTGAAGCTGGGTCGGGAGGGAGAATCAAGCCTGTTGTGCTGTAAGGAAAACAGAGAAACAATCTTGAAACTCTGCTAGCCATGGACACCTCAGCAAGGCTGTGTGCTCCTCACCATGCAGCCCAAACTACGACCCCAGTAAAAGCCCTACACCCCCCCACCCCCCCACCCCCCTGCCAATGGTAGCCATGGCGACTGCCCAGGTACCAAGCCCAGAGAATCCCTGAGCAGCTGGCCACAAGGCACTCACTCAGTTTTAAAAAAAGAAAAAGAAAAAAGCTTTAAAAAAATAACAATAACTAAAACCCTCATCCAACTCTGAATTAATATATAAGGGAATCAATAAGAATGGGGTGCTTTCAAAATTTATTACTTAATGTCTAGGTTATACTCTAGATTTTCCCAGCTTCACAGGGGTGAGTGGTCCTCAGGTTTCTCTGAGGCATCTGTGGAGTCCTGATTGGAGGAAGAGGACACAGACTAAGAACACCTGGGCAGGTGGATAGACAGCCTCACCTCCAAGATGCACACCTAGGAAAAGGATGTAGTGGCAGCACTCGTAAAGAAAGATTGAATTTGCGAGCATATCTGGGAAAATATGGCCACTAGGAAGTGGAATGGAGGCTCTGATTTCAGTGGTCTGTTAAATGGTCTCCTGACTGTTTCTCTCCCTCTGCCTCCCCTAGAGCTAAAGAAGCCACTTACCTCTACAGAGTGATTTTAAGGGCTCTAAAAGCCCTCTCATATTTTAAAAATGTATATATTAAAATATTGTTTTAAATATTAATTAATAGGAGCACCTGGCTGGCTCAGTCAGTAGAGCATGTGACTCGATCTCAGGGTTGTGGGTTCAAGCCCCACATCGAGTGTAAAAATTACTTAAAAATAAAATCTTTGAAAATATTAGTAATATTAAAATCGAATTAATTGAATCAATTGATGTTATTTAAAATAGCATTTACAGAATAAAATGACATGTCCATAATAAACAGCTAACCCTTGAATAGCACAGAGGATTGGGGTGCCAGCCTCCTCCATAATAAAAAATCGGAATATAACTTTTGACTCCCCCAAAACTGAACTACTGCCATACACAAGTTACTGGGGAAACAAACTCTTTATGCAGAGAAGATTAAGGTCACACAGCATGTTAAGAGAATACTTGCAACACTTGAGCTCACCGCAATAGTACCAGTAAGTTCTACCACATTCTTAGGTAGTGTAGTATGGACCACCGTTGCTTTTATGCAGCTATGACTTCATACTGTAGCTTCACATCTGTTTACATTTCTCCCAGCTATAAATGGTGCCATGCATGGTCTGTAAGCATTTGTATGCCTAAATTTTGACAAATTCTAACTTTTTATAATAGATTTGTATATATCTCATGGTGGTAAACAATAAAATAGGCTAGTATCTATGTATATTTTATGCATTCATGACAGACCAAACTTTTCCTTAATTTTTTTCAATATTTCTAGACTACATGGCTCATCTGGTTTTATTCTTTCTTTTTTTTTTTTTTTTCAAATTATTGCAAGTCTCCAAAAATATACTTATTGAAAAAAACCTATGTAAGTGGACCCATGCAGTTCAGACTTGGGCTGTTCAAGAGTCAACTGTGTGTGTATATATATAGATATATATGCCCACACATACATAAAGGAAATAAAAAGTGGCAACAGGAAATAAGAGAAGGAAGGACTGGAAGAACTACCAATTCCCCTAGGGCCTCATATTGTCTTCTCCATTCCTGGAGA